CTCCTCTGCCCGCAGCCCCCCCAGGCACCCGACACTCGGCTCCTTTAAGAGTCTCTGGAACCAAGAAACCATCAACAAGAACGTCCAGGGACAAACCCGCCCCACGCCGCGATAAGGGAGGCGGCGATAAGGGCAAACCTCGTTACCGGCGCTAACGGGCAAGGCCGTGGGGAGCGTGAGGAGGACGATAAGGACAGGAAGGGAGATGAGCAGGCGGAGACCTAAAACCTGCCCGATTCGTGTTAACGAAGAGGCGAAGCAGAAAGAAACCTTGCCCGGTCATGCTAACGGGCGGTCTTCTACCCACCAGTAGAACCTTGACGTTCTGCCGAAGAGCTTTGCGGCCGATGAGGATGCAACGCTGGGAGGGGGGTGATGAGGAGAGGATGAGGGGCAGGGAGGAGAAAAAGTGGGGGACCAGACAAAGAAAGGGTGTAAGAGGGGCTGGCGGCGTAGTGCGAGGTCTACGCGTTGGTCGTCGCCGTTGGTCCTGTCTTCGTTAGTCAACCTTTTGCTTAACTGTTTTTGAAGCCGGTGCTAGCTACTGGGTGGACTGGTGTGAGTGGGTTTGGGGTTGTCTATAGGACAGACTGGGGTTGTCGGCACCCCCGCTCTGTTGTGTCAGCTACTGGAGTGAGCTGGGATCCCAGTGCAGCTACTGGGGTGGGCGGAGGTCTTGCTGGAAGGGCTTCAGCAGCTGAGGAGCACCCTACTGGGTGGTACTGGGCTGGGCTGGAGCTGCTGGAGGAGGTGGCTGCTCTTAATATCCCTTAACACACATCGCATGATCCCCTTTGGTCCCCCAACAGATGATGGGACAGACAGCGAGAAGAAGAAGGAGTCCCGGCCCATGGAAGAGCAGAAGGTGACGCTGGAAGGACCCAGGGAGGAGCCCCAGAGCCCCAAGGTGGCCATGGACCACGACTCTCCACATCAGCTGGGTGACAAGCCAGGTAGCCAACTACAAAGACGACCCCGAAAATGCTCTTTCAAAGGGACGTACGCTGAAGACCTTCAAGAAGACGCAACCCAACCAAGGAGCAGCTCCAGAGGGAAGGTGTACAAGTGTGTGGACTGCAAGAAGGTCTTCACCTGGGGGAGCAGCCTGACCCGTCACCGACGGATCCACACGGGGGAGAAGCCCTTCAAGTGCCTGGATTGCGGGAAGAGCTTCACGCAGAGCGTGATCCTCCTGCGTCACTGGAGGACACACACCAAGGAGAAGCCCTTTCTCTGCACCACGTGCGGGAAACGCTTCTCCTGGCGCTCGGACCTCATCACCCACCAACGCATCCACACGGGAGAGAGACCGTACGCCTGCTCGCACTGCGAGAAGACCTTCCGGAAGAGGTCTCACCTCATGAGGCATCAGCAAGTCCTCCACGACGGTGAGTCATTGGAGGGGGACTTAGCGTGAGATGTCCCATGCCGTGGGTGGGGATGGCCCGGAGAAGCACGTGGTTGGGCCGTGTTGGGATTCCTGCTCCCAGCGTGGCAGCGGTGCTGGGGTGGGAGATGTCCCTGGGGGTGGATCGTCTCTGTCTGCAGGTTGGGTTGATCTCTCGGTGGGGACAGTCCTGGTCTGAGCAGCAGGTTGGACTGGAGACCTCCAACTAGCGCAGCTGCGCTGGAAGAAACTCCTCCATGCAGGGAGGGTTCATGAGTCACTCTTTGTGATCGCAAAGGGTCTCCAAGAACATTTCCCAGGTTCATTTGTGGGTATGGAGGCCTCTCCACCCACCCTCCACCACTGCAAACCCCCTCCCGCTTCTTCCCAACTTGCGTTACCCCAACAGATACTTGGGTTTCTCCTCCGTCCTTGGTTGTGGAGGACCTGTTGGCGCGATGGCTTTGTCTTTCTCGAGCAGGCACCAAGAGCATCCAACCGGAGCCAGGACAACCACCCCGAGTGCCGGAGGAGAAGTTGGAGAGCAAGAAGGAGCAGACACCGATGAGACAAGGGGGTGGCGTGAAGAAAACCCACGCAGCCACGCGCAAGCCGGTGGCCCGCGCCAAGCAGAAGACCCATAAATGCCCAGAGTGTGGGAAGACCTTCTGCTGGAGAAACAGCCTGCGGCGCCACCAAAGAAACCACACGGGAGAACGACCCTACGAGTGCCCAGATTGCGGGAAGACCTTCAACGACTTCTCCAACCTCGTCTCCCACCATAGGATCCATAAGGGGGAGAGACCGTACGAGTGCCCTGAGTGCGGGGAGTGCTTCACCCAGAACTCGAGCCTTTCCAGGCATCGGAGGACCCACACCGGAGAAAAACCCTTTTCCTGCTCTGATTGCGGGAAATCCTTTACTCAGAAGCAAAAACTCGTCTTGCACCAGCGGATCCACACCGGGGAGATGCCGTACAGCTGCCAGCGATGCCAGAAAGCCTTTCGGAGCAGCACCCACCTCGCCACCCACCAGCAGGTCCACGCGAAGGAGAGCTCCCACGCCTGCCTGGTCTGCGGGAAGACGTTCAGCGTGGGCGCCGAGTGTCTTCTCCATCAGAGGACCCACTTGGAGGAGGCACCGGTGGGCCAAGGAGCTTCTCCGGGGGGTGACGCGCCGTGAAATTAGGAGGTCGTGGCCTCCCTAGGTAGGGATTTCCACCCCTTTGGTCCATCCCATGAGCCTGGTGATCTTGGAGGGGGAAATTCAGGGATGTTTGGGAGATGCTTATGTCCCACCAAGGGGTTTTTTTTTTGGGTGGGATGAGGGGTCGTGTGACCCCCCTCTCTGCTTTTAAACGGGAGTGCCTGCACATAGGTGTAAAAAAGGAGAAGATTTACCGGTAGGCACCTTGGGTACATGGACAACGTGGCTCTTCCTTCACCCCAGCACGTGGGACCATCACGTCCAAGAGCCCCAGCGTCTCCACGGGGACTTGGGGGTCCAGAGATCTTGAAGAAACGCCGCCTTCCTGGCAAAAACAGGGCGCTCCCATGAGTCCAAGGGGATTATAAAGCCTCGTTAGCCAGAGGGGTCGTTAACAAGACCCAAGGTGGAAGAAACTGCTGGACGGCCTTGGCATGATGCTACGGTGGGATGTTGGTTGGCATCTTGCGTCTTGTTCTACAAGCTGTGACCATCGTGTTTTATTCAGTTCGCCCTTAATATGTTTATCTCTCTCCCTGTTCATCACTTGCCTCGTTAAAAGCGTGGCTTGTTAATTATTACCCGATTAACCTGCTCGTTTGACAGGGAAGAGCTCTGGGGGGCGCAGAGGAGATCGGGAGCGGGGGGTGACACCAGGCAGGTGACGCGACTCAACTGGCGCGCGATTCCCGGCCGCATCGCGTCGCGCTCGGAGAGGAGGGGGTCTGGAGACGGGAGCCGGCCGGGCGTCCATCGCCCCAGGGGAGGTGGGGAGTGATGGCCTTTGCATCACTCCTCCTTCTTTTCCTCCTTCTCTTCCTCCTCCTTCTCTTCCTCCTTCTCTTTCTCCTTCTCTTTTTCCTCCTCCTTCCTCTTCCTCCTCTTTCACCCTCTCCTTCTCCTCTTTCTCCTCCTTCTCTTCCTCCTCCTTCTCCTTTCTCTTCCTCCTCCTTCGCCTTCTCCTCTTTCTCCTCATTCTCCTTCTCCTTTCTCCTCCTCCTTCTCCCCTTTCTCTTCTTTCTCCTTCCCCTTTCCCTTCTCCTCCCCTTTCCCTCCTCCTCCTTCTCCTCCTCCTCCTTCTCCTTCTCCTGCTCCTTCTCCTTGCTCCTCCTCCTTCTCCTTTCTCTTCCTCCTCCCTCACCTTCTCCTCCTTCTCTCTCCTCCTTCTCTTCCTCCTCCTTCTCCTTTCTCTTCCTCCTCCTTCGCCTTCTCCTTCTCCCTCTCCTCCTCCTCCTCCTCCTCCTTTCTCCTCCTCCTCCTTCTTTCTCCTCCTTCTCCTCTCTCCTTCTCCTCTTCTCTTCTCCTTCTCCTTTCTCCTCCTCCTCCTCCTCTTACTAAACTCATTTTATCCCCACCCACCGTTTTCTCGCTTTTACTCTTCTTTTCCCCCTGCTGGGTTCTCCCCCAGCGGGTGGGAGCAGCCCCCCAGCCCAGTGCTGTCCCCTCCCGGCCTGCCCCATCTCCATCCCTGGTCCTCCCGGGGGGTGTGATGAGTTGGGGGGGGGAGTGGGGACCAGGGATGGGCGCTGGGCCTGGGCGGAGGAGGAGAAGGAGGGAGGGATGGAGGAGAAGGACAGGAGGAGGGATGGAGGAGGAGAAGGAAGGATGGAGGAGGAGGAGGGATGGAGG